CTAATCCCTCCCCATAAAAGCCAAACAGCACACAAACCCCAGTCAATTGTATTATTAGGAGCTTATAGGAGAAACCAGACAATTTATCCTTGTGAGAAGAAAGAATTCATGGCCAGGGTTACAGAATTTACTTAGGAGAAGGTAATTTCCCATGTTTGGCAGAGAAGATTCCTGCCACAAGGCAAAAAAATTGCACAAACTCTGCCAGCACACACCTGCTAGAAAGTGTTTATAATGGCTAAAGCACATTTAGTAGCTTTACTAGCAACGTTTTACTAATAGCTCTGGTTCACTAATTGCGTATTTTTTGCTAAGGGCCTTTTGCCAGTGTACAAGTGTTTGAAGACTTGCATGCTAGTAGATTTTTACATTGACAAGCTTTTAGTATCAACCTGGTTTAAGCTGTCATTCAGAAATGCTGGCTGCTAACTGAGGCTTATATGTAATAAAAGGCCAAGGCTAGAGCAGAGTCTCAGAGGCTGATGGGGTAGAGCCAGCCCATGAATAATTGAGGGTATGTTCTCCATTTATGGCATTGAGTGGTAGCATTTGTGAGAACCCCAGGGTCCTTTGGCTTTTCAGCAGCGAGCCCCTGTGGCTGCCCATTCCTCACTTTCCTCAACAATGTCACAGAGTCTGACACCAGCACTTGCAGTCTGTCCTTTGGCAGCCAGAAACCAGGCTTTTCTGAAGTCTACCACATTCAGCCTAAATCCTGAACAAAGCTGGCAGGGACCAGCCACACCACCACACATGGGAGAATTATAGGGAAAAGAACAGCTGCCACATGTTAAATTGGGGTATGTTCTATACAGAAAACAAGATGCATTGTGACCTACAGACTTACCCTTAGCCACTCTAACTAATGCAATTCCTTTTCCCACTCCAGAAAAAAAAAAAAAAAACAAGTAATGGAAAGAATTATAGCAGCTCGTGAGTGCTTCATGATCCCACAGAACAAGAAACATCACCAGTTCATTACTGGGGGCCTTGCTTCAGGCCACAGGGTGGTCACAACTCTGCTCTTGCAATATTAATTATTGGCCTGGGACAGCTACAGAGCAGCTTACTGGCTGTGCACAAAATGCTTCCATGTGCTGAGCTTCTGCAGAGGCTGGCCCTGTGGGCTTTGCTAGACAAACACTGCAGCTCCCAAGAAGTCTGAGTGCTAGGCTGATTTCTAGCTCCAGCAGCAAATCTCCACTTCTGGAGAGGAGCTGGGAGCCTGGCCCAAGGAGCAGCAGCAGATTTCTTAATCTCTGGAGATCTGAGGACTTTCTTCCTGGAATCTTTTTGAAATCAAATTTTTAAGTATTCAATGCACTCTCCTTCCCCTCTGACTGACAACTCAAAGGAACTGAGGATGAAGGGAAACAGGGAAAAATGGGGACAAGAAGCATCATGGGAATTCCCTCATGCTGAACTTCCAGACCTAGGTAGAGCAGAAACACAAGAAGGAAACACAACTCTCACAGTAGTGGAAGACATGCAACAAAATATCCAATTGTGTGATTCTCCAAGAAATGGAAGGGAGAATTATCCCTAAAAATGCCAAGCATTCAGCACAAATCGTTTACGAGGAGAATACATCTGTAATTACAAGTTAATTTAGCTACCCTGCTGCCAGGAGTAACTGGGAGCAGACGGAGGCGATCAGTGTCATCTTCCCATTCCCCTGGGACCAGCCCGGCTGGGTTTTCTTGGTGGAACACCTCCCTCCAGTGGCCAAAGGCAAGTGGTTTCCACAGAGCTCGGGCAGAGCTGGGGACCCAAGCTCGGACAAGCAATTGTCCTCAAGTCCCTCGCTTTCTCCTTCCAGCTCCACAACAGGCTGGATGGAAACCAGCAGTGCCCTTCCCCACCTAGGAGCCATCCGGTCAGGGCTGGCAGTTCTGCCAGGAGTGTAGCCCTCCAAGTTGTGGGGCCCAGGGAAAGCACTACCTCCTGATTAAAGCAGGGTGCTCTGGGAAATCAAACAGAAAGGGGACACTCCATGTGACCAAGAACCAAGCTCTCCTCAAGCACAGCCCAGGACAGCCTAAAGGAACAAGCTGTACTCACAAATAGGACAGATCATTGCACCCTACTGTGGCTCCAGGATCCATTTAAGTCCCTCTTGCTCTGCACTCATCTGGTCAGGGCTGCTGAAATCTTGACTTAGATCAGTTGCCACCAGTGTTTTCTTGTAGCATCCCAGTGCCTTCTCTGCAAACTTCACCGTTTCTTCAAAACATATATGAGGACTTAGGTCATGCTTATTACTTCCTAAAGCAACAGCTCTAAAATTCATTAGTACACCCATTAGTACACCATCTTAGTTTCTTCTAAGCCACTGGTCCAGATGCACTAATATGGTGCAGGATCTGAAGGAATTTTGAGATTCAGCTCATAACCATTTCTCAGTTGCTTAGCTGAGAAAAGCAAGAAGATTTATATAGTTGGTCTATCTACTTCTGAAGAGCTTTTCAGTCAAGGCCAGCATGTGGTGACATAAACTATGAAAAATGGCCATCTAGCTTTCTTCCTTCTCAGTGTCAGGGCAGGAGCTGAGGAATCCTACTGAAAGTGAGTAGGAAAAAATGATATAGTTAAGCTTGCAAGAGCTGTATGCACTGTGGGCATAGCAGCAACCTTGTATTTCATCAGAATTAGTCCCCAAGGCTTATGACTTCAAACTGTGCAGACTGTGCAGATCTGAAGCAACATCTTCAAGTATTTCGCTTAGGAGATAGCATGTTCAAGGAACTATCATTCAGTCAGCTCACCCTAAGACAAACATACTTCATAAAACAAGAGAAAGTTTACTTTAGAATACAGCCCAGAAAAATTGTAACCTCCCCCTGCTGGGCAGGATCTTTAGAGCCCACACTGATCTCACACATGCGCATCAGACGTTTTGGTACTTTGAACAAACAAGATGTCAGTGATCTGCACATAAAGCAGAAAGGGGTGGAGAGGAAGCAAGGGGAAAACACTTCAATACACAAGTCCCAGGCAGAGAGATATATTTTTTAGCAAAGTCTTTATTACAGAAATATTCATCCTCTAGACTTTTATATCTGTACATGCATTTCTTCCAGTAGGAAGATGCTGCTAAAAACAGACAAAAACAAAAAAGGAAATCCAGAATGGGCTCCTTTTCACTTGCTGCTCAGCATTGGCATCTGTAACTGAACAATAATCTTACAAATAAGAAGAACTCATTAGAGAATAGACTTTGTGTTACAAAAGCTAGCAAGCTTTACTGCTAAAGGTGCCTTCTGCTATAGAAAAGGTCAGCTTGAAGGATCTGTGCAGGAAGGGGCAGATATCTCAGAATTGCAAAGCCCTATCAGACCTCCACAAAAACCAGTTGCCCAGTCATTCTCCCCAGTCATCACTCTGTCCAAAGATGAGGACAGAGCAGGGACTCACTGCTGGGGCCCTGATTCTCTGCACCAGCCTTTCTTCCCAGAAGGAAAACCAAGTAGGTTTTACCAAGTAGGGTTATTACTACCTGCCCCACCCCTGACAGGAGACAGTCCTGGAACCACCTCTGTAAGGCAAAGGCTCACTCACCAAGTACCTTGTAACAGGTCCCTGGCAAGGACCATCCACTTATCTCCCATCCAGCTTCCTGATGTCACAGTCATTGTACCATGTGTAACAGCAGGAAATCTGCTGTGCCCAAGACACCTCTGAAAGGGAGGATTTGCACCCCACTCTCTTAGGTAAGCAGTTGGGGCAGTGCTTCTTGTGCATTTCCTACCTTCTTCTGGTCTACATCACTCCTTACTGCTGACCACTGGCTCAACAGAACAAACAGCCCAGCCATTAGCACAGAAACCTGCAGCCTGCACAACTGCAGAACCTGCTACTTATCTGCTGCAGTGCTGGCACTTGAGGCAGAACTCAGGATGCAGCCATGGCTCCAGACCACAGTGGAGTCAGAAGAATGGACAACTGAAATAAAAGCAATTTATCTTTGCATCCCAGCTACAGAACCTATACTGGGCACTGATAACAGTGATATTCCCAATATACAGCATCAGCAATCCAGTCAGATCTTACCATATTCACATCTAAATCCACAGCTAACAAATTTTATGTTCATAAAGGAGCAGGGGAAGAATCAAATTAATTGTAATCTCTATAAAGTTGGCAAACCAAGAATGCAAAGAGCAGAGCCAGCTTGGGGCTGAGTCCACAGTATGCAGCAGTCTCTGAAGTAACCTCCAAGCTGACAGGAGCCAGCAAAGCAGAGCTAGGGGTAGAGGAGAAGATAAAGAGGCAAATGGGAGAAACGTGTCAAATCCAAAACCCAAGGGATCCATTCCAGAAGCAGCTGAGCACCACCACCACAATCTGCCAGGTCACACTAGGAATAAGCAAGTAGGCTTGGCTCCCTCCTGGTGGCTTCTCATCATGCTCAAAGGGAAGAGCTCCACTGAAGGCAAGGCATAGCTGACTCCAGAAACAGGAGAAGCGAGTGTGACAGTAGCTCTCTGTATTTCAGATCAGAACCTAGGCTGGAAGATGTACAGTAGGAGCTGAATCAGGTCAACTGCAAGGGAAGAGAAGGCCTATAAAGCATGACTAGTTACCACCACAAGTCAGTGAAGCAGGTGAAGCTACCAAAGCACTGGAATCTCAACAGAATTCGTGGCTCATGAGACTTCAGGGGGGAGGTGAAAAGATGTGCAGAAGAGCAAGGGAGAGAAAAGTTATTGTATGTTAGGTCCAGTAGGTTGTAGAATGAAGATATGAATAGTATTGTTTAACATGGAGCAGACAGCAAAAGCATTGTCCCCTCAGGTTAATCAGTGTCTCATGTGACACAAGACAGTTTAAGTTCTGCTTCTTGAAGTAGAAATAATCCACCTGCAGGATGCAGGTGGCCCAAGGGCCCTATTGCCAGAAGATCAGGCTGTGTTGCAGCTCTAACAGTTCTTAGCAGAGTGGTATCAGAAATGGGATGTCACAGGAATAATGGTGGTTGGACAGTCTGGGTATGAGGCAGTAATGTTCTGTTTGCTCCTTTCTCTGTGGTGCCGTAGCTCTGGAGTAGCCAACTCAAGACTTGGGCACTTTGGTGTAGTCTTCACTGTGTATGTTCTTGCAAAGCGAAATGGCCAGTATCATCCCCAGCAGCTGGAACGAGTATGAAGAGTGGGAACAAAATCAGCAACCAGACAGATAAGGTGGGAAGAACAGGTGATATTGGGAAGCAGAATACAGCGAACATCTTTTAATGACACCATACAGGTGAATAGAGTTAGTCCTCAACACAAGGCAAATGCAGTAAACTGAAATGACAAAAAATTTGGCTTCATAAAGATGTGACTTCATCTGGAAACTATGCTATGAGCTTTTTAAGGCAACAAATGGGATTTCACTAAAGTGGGATTTTGCTTGCCTCAGTATTCTGGTTACAGAATTGCCAAAAGTCAGATACAGCAGGCAGAACCACAAGTAGACAAGGCTTTGTCCAATTTTTAATCCAGTCAACAAAAGCCACAGTTCAGGCAGACACAACCACAAGCTAGAACTGCACTGTCATTAAACCAGGTGTCTATTACTTGAGAAAACAGCTTTGCCTTTAAAAAAGTCTCCATGAGAAGACAGTATAGGTTCATGTCAGGAAATTACCTACCTCTATAACAGCAACACCAGTGCAAACCCCAAGAATGATACCAAGGTTGTCCTTCAGCCACTCCTCTACACCATCCATGCATCCCTACAGAGAAAACACAGCCACAAAGAAGAGAAGCATGGATCTAAATATGTCAAAACTGAAAATCCATAACATATCTTTGCACACAGGAATTATCCCAGTTACATGCTATACCATGTTTCATGGAAGCTTTTGCAGAAAAGGGCAGGATCCCTGTCACCCTGTCCCCCCTTGCCCCAAATTCCACAGGTACTTCAAGCAATAAGGACATGAAAGAAGTGCTCTAGATTTTCAGAGGAACAAAGACAAGGCAGCCTCAGTGGAAGCTTCACAGGGCCCAGACATACTCACTCACCTGCTCATGAACAGGCCAGTCAGCATATGTTGCAGTGCCATTGAGAGGGTCTTCCAGATTGCAGAAACCTCTTCCTTCCACTAAGTCCTTAGATCTATTGGAGCAGGAGCACGGATACTCAGTATTGCTTTTGTTCCTTAGAATATCATTGTTTTCCCATTCCTTTGCTCCAGTCCAGCCACAGCAGGCAATCTAATAATGACAGAGAGATCATTACAGTCTTACCCTTTGCACTGGCAAGATAACTGCACATGACAATAGGCAGGTAGAAGTACTCAGGAGCTCTCGGTGCAAGAACAGTCATGCCATACAGTCTGCATGAATGAGCAGCACTAAACAGCACCCTGGTTGCTTATGTACAGAGCTGTCCAGAACACAGGCACATTATTTCCTACTGAAGAGCCACTCTGCTAGCAAAACAAGAGTTCAAGGGCCCCGGTCTCAGCCGCGGCCCGGGGCAGCAGCAGCCGCCACACGGTGGCGTCCCCAGGCCGCCAAGCCCCGGCACGGCACCGCGCACCAGCGCCCGCCTGGGAGCAGCACGGGCCGGCTGCAACACGGGATAGGGAAAACTTCCGTCCAAAGAAACATTTACATTCCTATAGAGCCACGTGATAAAACCCTACTCGCTGAAGGGAAAAGCACATCGGGACGTCTAGCAAGCAGTAAGATCCTAAGCATGGATCCCGGTGCTTGCCCAGCAGTACAGAGCAGAAAGGCTGTCCTATGTCAAGGTAGAAGTTTAGGGGAAATCCTTCTTTGCTCGGAAAGGAAAAGTAACGTTTCTGCTATAACAGACATGAGATACAAACAGCTGAACATCCACATCAGGACAAGCATTTGGTTTCCAAAAGAGTGCTGTGAAGACACAGCCTCCAGAAGGAACTACATTTCCTTCACAAGAGGTTTGGACTTTAAACTCCTGGTTTACAGAACCCCACCGTCTTTCAAATACTAACTCCAGTGCGTGAGATGAAGTAGACTCTTAACACTCAAATTCTCCATCTCTGCAAAACCTTTTTCTTCTGTTCCTTCATAAAAGAAGGGCCCAAGTAGCAGCCTCTCTCCACAGTAGAATCAGGCTTCTCTTGAGTTCACTACCAAGGAGTTACAACTGCAGTGAAAAAACATACATAACTCATTCTCCAAGGAGGAGAAATACTGCAGGTCAGTGTTGTGCAAAGCAAAGAACAGACAGAAGACAAATGCTGTTACTTGTACTTACTACCCATCAGTCCCACGCTGGCCATGTGTTTAACTACAACAGCCAGCCAGCTCTCAAGCTTGTGGTTTGGCAGTAAAAACACCTGTCATGACTCCAGTGTGCTTGAATACCCTCTAGCTGCTCAAGAGCTGACCCTGATGCTAAAACAGAAACCATGGGCAGTTGGATGGCTCCCAAGAACGCTGATACTTGCAAAAGAACCATCACAATAAGCAAGCAACATGCACCAAGTAGTAAGGCAGGTGGTGCTGTTGACTTGCCTGGCAATAAACTAGGGACTTTTTGTTACAAAAATCATGTACAGAATGTTTTTCACACATTAGTATTCAGGAGGCCCAGCAGACAAAGAGAAGTGTTGGAGAGCCATTTGACAAGCTAGATACACTAGCACACAGCCAACACTAGCTAGCTCTAACACTCAGCAGACAAGAATGGTTCAGGGTCTGACACAGAAGCACCAAGCAAGACCATTTTCTAGTCGGCAGGCACCAAACCTCACAGGCCACTTTGTAGATCAGCCAGATCAATGTGCAATAGTTGCTTTTCTGTCCTCAGCCTACTTTAAAGGTCATTGCCTGCACTGACAAAGAGCATCATCTACCTCTTGCTGCCCACCACGACTCACCTGTATCTGCACATAGTCCCATGCATCTTGCAAGTTCCTCCTATCTTCGTCCGAAGGGTCATACTTTTCAATCAGATCTACAACTATGCCAGACAACTCAACTTTCAACTGGCAAGAAAAAAAAGAGGCAGGAGAGTTAGATTATCAGTTCTTGTAGCCTTTTCTTTGGTCTTTCAGATACACATACAAAGCTACAGTCACTCATAAAGGCTGACTGCAAATAGTTAACAAGTACAGATAAGGGCAGCAGCTTTGCTGCTCAACAGCCAAAGCACCAGCAAGTCCTTGCCAGGACCTGGGGAAATCCTACAAACCAGGAGAGCAGTAAGGAAACAGATCAGGTTTGGTTACCTGCTAAGACACAGACTGAACAACTAACTGCCTGCCCCAGACAAGACAGATGTGCAAGGTAAGTGCAAGCTGAAGGACAACCCTGCCTTAAGGATTCACAGGTTATGTGTTTCTAACTTTGTACTGCAGGAGAGACCCTGCTCCAGGATCTCTGCCACTGCAGCTCATCTCCACTGCTCAGAGAAGGTGTAAACCACTCTGCTCATGAATGCAGACGGATTTGCTGATACACAGCTGATGGAAACCTGCCTTTTTCACAAGGTGCTGATCTACCTCTCCCAAAACTCCCACAAGTCCTATTTCTATATTAAGACAGGAAGTATTACCACTACCTAAACTGCTCATTAACAGTCTTATCACAAAGTTCAGGTGTATCAAATCATCTCTTCACCACCATTCCTTTTCCAGAGATATTTACAACACCCTTCAGTTTGATGAGAGGTGCAAGCTACCACCTGGCAGACTCCTTCACCTTCTCCCTCCCAGCTACTTCTGAAGCTCTTCTTAACCAGCCTGTACATAAGGACTGCTAAGGACAGACCCAGATTCACAAGAGGTTGAAGAAAAGTGCCATTAGACTACCCAAGGCATAGGATAGACTTACATCAACCTAAGCACGAGGATGTTCCCATCCCACCTATTACCTTTTTGACTGTGGTGTTACAGCATATTTCAAATCAGTGGAAATGGGTTTTCTCTTTTCTTCTATTATCAAGCATTTTCAATGACCATGGCAAATACCAGGACATTCAGCAAGAGGAAGCACTGCCTACTGTTGAGAGAAGCTTCTCTACATCAGCAACTCCTCTTCCTAGGAAAACTGCAGCTCAGTTCACTGGGATCAGCTATGTCAGGCCAGACGGATGGGAGCTGCATGATCTTTCTTCTCATGATGTCTATCTCTTCCCCTTTTAATTACTTCACTTCCCTTTTTCTTCCCTTCAAATCAAGGCAACCTGACCTGGTTCTCACTAATGAGATTGGCCTTGGCTGCTGCCATAAGCCTTATCAATTACTGAACCTGTGAGTTCCCACCCTGACCCCTCCTGCACACTGCTGCTCCACATGCAGAGGGAGGCAAGGAGAGCTGGGCTTGTTTTCCTACCCTGGGCCCATCTTGCCCCTTAGCTATTGGGTCAGATGGAGCCTACTGCCACTTCTGCAGGACCCCACCACAAGCAGACAGGACTTGAACCTGATGTCCCCAACCACAGCTGCATAGGGAAGCTGTATGTCTGCTTTGCCCTTAGTCTTACAAAAGAACAGCAAAGAAGTCCTGCAAACAGCTCTTGTTTCAAAAAGTGAAGCATTTCAAATTAAAGAAAAAAATAAATCAGGCTTTCCTAGGTGTTGTAGCAAGCAATCTGAGAGAGGGGGAATATTATGCAAACAGCGGCACAGTTCTGGAGCCACATAGGCAGCCTGCTTGTGGGTTTAACCTATAAAGCAGCCCAAAGGGAAAACACAGGCATCTGCAGCTGTTCACCCTTAAGCACCTGGCAGAGGAAAACTGAAAGAGCAACGAGCTAGAAAGGCACACAGAACACGCAGGCTTTCAACATTCTAACCATCTCCACCCATTTACAGTTATCAGGACTTAGCACTGTGTGAGACATGAATACCTCAGGAAATGGCTACCCTTGCTTTCAGGGCTTCTTGCCCCTTCCCACTCTAGCAAGCCCAGTGTCCAAAGGCACAATCCCACCACCTCCAAGCAGGGGCACTTAGATCCTAGGCACCAAAGCCACAGTTCACTGCCAGAAAGCAGCAAGGCGGTCAGTCTCCCCACCACATGGGCTACTGAAGACGGAGATGGGGAAAGCTGAATGCCAGAGGCAAGACCAGGTCTTTGATCACACAATAGATTGTGCAGGCTTCTTCCCCTATCAGACACTGTCAGTCATCTATCCTGTCCCTGTCAGATGCAAGTTAGATCCTTTCCTCAGCACTTATTAGCATCTAGCCTGCACACAAAAGCAGGCTCAAAAAACTGGAGGGAGCTCTCCTCTGCCTTGTCACTTCAGATTCTGAAACTCATGCATAGTCCACAGCCCCAGACAAGTCACTGCATGCAATCACACAGGCCTGTCTGCTGCAAACAATAGCTAGCAAATAGGGCTATTCCCAAAACACCACCAATCTCCTTTACTCAAGGCACTTAGAGCCAAGCTGCACAGAACTGTGTGAACTAGGCCAAGAGAGAACTTGCCCAGGCTCTCACACATTTAGGGGCTTGTGATCTACTAGATGTAGGTGATAGCAACATTCAGTTCACAAAGCAGAATATCATTTGCAGCATTTGTGATGTTACTATGTTGTTGACGATAAAAAACCCCCACCCAGAGTTTCAGCCACCAACAAATGTAGGGAAACGAATCTTGCATCAACATCCTCCCAAAAGTACTGGGCAATTCCAGTCTGAAGGGGCATTCCTCTAACAATGCCCATGGGAGAGGCAAAGTAGCAGCCTTCCTGTCAGAGGCTCAGCCTTTTACAGTTACACTAACTCTATTCCAGTATACCTTCATTTGTCAGTGTGGGGGAGGATTTTGACACCAAAAAGGAAAACAGATATGCCAATAATAACTTCAAGTGAATCCATAGAAATAAATACTTCAGTTACAAGTGAAGGACTGAGTACCACCTTGCTACATTCTGGATCCAAAATCTTTTCCTTTACCCTTGTTGTTCCTTGTTTTATATCGAACCAAGTTCCTGAAGTCAGAAAGAAATAAACACAAAGAACACAACAGACATCTGGGGACTGGCTGTTGAGCAGTTTCAGTGTGCCTCACTGTGCTCCAAGCTGCCCTGGGATGACGTACAGCCAGCGAAGCAGAGCGACTCGCACAGCAGCACTGAAGCGCAGCCCCAAACCACTGTGCTGGAGGTTTCAGCCAAGGCCTTCCTCAAGCAGCTTTTCTTAGTGCTCTAGGCAGGTACTTTGGAGGATCCCTGAAAAGAGAATGGCTCTAGAACAGCTTTTCCATTAATTTTGTTCATTAGGGACTGAACAGGAGCATTTGTTCAAAGCCCAGCTTCCCTGACCATTCTCCCAGATCTGTAAAAGTGATGATCTCAGTCACACCAGCTCCAACAGCTGTGGAAAACAACCCCCAGCACTTTTAAACTCTCCCTGGTCTGATGAGGTTTAAATGAAGAACTACAGCTTAAAAGTTGGAGTTTTCTAGAGTAGATTGGCAACTGGAGGAGAAATGCTAACAGAGGTACAGAATTTCCTGGTTTGAAGTCACATTTCCCCATCGCAGGGGAATGCCCATCTCCACACCTCCATATCTGCATTAGTCAGAGCTGTTTGTTGAGAATTATCTTTACACACCAGTTTTAGTCACTGTTTTAGTTTCTCCTTTAGTTTCTTCCAGCCCAGAGAGCAAGCTACAGTCACACCACATTTGGCAAGGAACGCAGCCGACAGCTGCTCAGTCACCATAGTACAAAGCTTACATCAGTTATGCTGGTGGCAGGCACCTTCCCCCTGCCCCAAACTTCTCCAACCGGCCCCATCCATAACCTCCTCAACTGTTCTGCTTTCTGTAGCCATCTAGCTAAAGAGTTGGCTGAGGAGAGGTAAGCACAGCCATACAGTGGTATATACAGCAAAGGACAGGGTTACCCACAACTTGTACCCGAAGCCAATAGTGACCCCACAGCTATAACTTGTTTCCACTGCATAAATGTGGCTCCCAGTTTAGCTCTTAAGTAACTGAAGACCTGATCAGGCACTGCCTTGGCCAGTCAACCTATAACCAAGATGGACTGTTGCAATGCACTTAGGTAGCTCAAAACCAGGTAGCTCCCTTTTACACTACGAAGCATATTGGAGCTCTAGAAGCACACACTGTGAAACTGCTTTCCTGACAAAGGAATCCACTTCAAAATATTAAACCACTTGGCTTTAAACTCCAGCTGTAGAACGGGAACCATCAGATATTTGGGTTTGCTTCTGTGGAAAGAGGACAGCTCTTTCAAGAAGAGTTCCACCCACAGATGCAGAAAGACTGAAAGGACAGAACAAGATGGCACAAGGAGGAAGACCAGTCAAAAAAGTGCTCAGGCTGGTAATTCCTCAAGGCACCAGGGATGGCAACATGGTAGAAACCACTGCTACTACCTGCCCAAATAGCTGTCTACAGCAGGATCAAGAGGAGGTATGGGTCTAAAGCATTTTAGGACTTTTTTTTTTTCCTCTCTATTCCCACTACCCAAAAATAATGCCTGCATACCAAATAAAGTTTCATAATCCTTAAGAAAACAGCACTATTGAGGCAGATCAGAAAAATCAAATAGCAAAGCTATTGAGCTAGGAGAAAAGGAGAATCTAGTTATGCCTGCTAGCAGGATAGCCCAGTTTGGAAAAAAGAATTTCTAGGTATCACCCTTCTCCCAAGCCAAGACTAAGGAAAAGATGCATGGTAATAAAGACTCACCGTTTCTTTCTGGAAGTAGATGACCAGTGCAGCAGCAATCTGAGCTAAGAGGATTATCATCAGGCAGGTGAAGTACTGGAAACAAAAAACAATAGGTGATCACTGTCAGTCTTTAGAAAGGTCAGTATACAAAAGTTAATGAAATTACACACAACATGAGCCAACGTCTTTTTGCCTGCAGACAAACTCTGCTATCAACAATGCCTTCCCAGGAAAAGGCTGGAACCAACGTCAGAGCAGTGCAGTTCAGCACTTCTCCCATTAGGCCAACAGAAAGCCTTCAGGAAGGAAAGGGTTTACATGCCCTCTCTGCATGTGTCATCTCGACTGGGACTCTCTCCCACATCCAACTCCATTCACAGACCATTCTGGCCTCAATCAATCAGCTGGATTCTGCCTACCTCAAGCCTCAACAGAAAAAAAAGAGTCAATTTTACAAACCTAATTTTTAATGTATTCTTTTTTAAAAATCAATTACCCTTTTAAAACAAGCTATTTAATTTGTTTGAGGATCTAAATTTAAGATTCACCAGCAAACTGCTGAGGTTACTTTTAAATGGTGGCAGCTACTATTGCTAGACAAGATACTGCTAATACCAGCACACACAGTGTGTGCCATGCTTGGTTTCCAATACATATGTGCTCAGCATAAGACAGAGTCATGTAGCAGGCTGAGATGTATGATGGTGGTATCATCTCACCTATCACAGACGGAAAGTTTCCTATAGATGAACTGCCTGAAGAGAGGTCCTGACATACAGGACATTCCTAATTGGGTCTCTCTCAACTCTTGCACTTTCCACAGATGTGGCATCAGGATACTATCACTCTTCCTCTTTTCTTTCACTGCCTTTGGAACTTGCTCTTCTACCACTGAAAGCACAGTACCAACTGGGAAGTCAGGGCGAGGGGGACAGGGTATGCTTCTCAGTTGGTAGTCCTCAACTCACTGTGTGCAAGAAGTGTCAGTGACATCCTCTCTCATCCACAGTTCTGAGCTTATTATCAGTAATGTCTGAGGAGCTCTGCTGCAGTCTGCTGACTGCTGGAGAATTTAATGTGTGCCAATTAAGAATTAGATCTAAGTTGACCTAGCAGAAATAACATCCCCAGGAGACCAAAGTCCCATCTACAATCCAACAGATATTTTGCAGGAGATGTATTAAAGGTTGGTTCTAAAACAGGCATGAATACTCTCACCAGACCCAAGAGACACCGGATTTCATTGACGGCTCCAAGACAGCCCAGGAACCCCATCAGCATGGTAAGTGCCCCAACACCAATGAGGATGTATGCACCAGTCTTCAGGGAGGGAGATGACATCTCTGTAGGAGCCAGGAGAAGGAACAACATTAGCTACTGACAAAAATATACGTCTGTCATCACCATTTATAGAACTGTGTCCATATCTACTGATAATTGTCTTTGTCCGCTCCAAACAGACTGCACAGATGTGTGCCAAACACGGTAACAGATAGATGCTTCTGGTTGTCTTTTGATGAAAGTAGACTTGAAAGTCATCCTGCAGGACTCCAGAGCCTGGAAGACCCAAGGTCACTCCAAACAAATAACTGTCTCCAAACAAGGCTTATCTCCTTACTGGAATTCTACTCTCTCATGAATGTACTGCAAGTAACAGTAATATAAAAGATGATCTACTCCATAACTACTGTCTCTTTGCTTCAATTCCCTTTGCTATCTTCAGGGAAGCTTTCTTCCAAGTCTTAAACCCCATTTTTGGACAGCCTTTTCACTCTGAAGCACTATTTCTTGTTGTAGACACTCTGTTTTCACTTATCCACTTGCAGTCAACACTGGGACAAACTAACTCTGCAGAGTGGAACATGCAACAAGCTACAGCTAGTGTTGAGCACAGATGATGTGACAGGTTACTTAGCAAGTCTGGCTTGAATGGCTTGTGGCCAGGCACCTACCACAGGCCGTTGAAGCACCTGTGCACAACACCCTGCAAACAGATGCTATTCCAGGATCAAAACAGATATAATACCCAAATTAGCTACTTTTACAAATCCTCCTAGATATCCCCTGCTATTGTTTCTAATGTCTGCATTTCTGAATGCTCAGCAGTTTTTCAACCAAGTTTAGGTCAGGTTATTTCAGACATGCTGGTGATGTCAGCCCTCTCCCCTCAGCATTTAGTACTGCAAGCAACAAGAAAAACTCCTACATTTGAGCTGGTCAGCTGACTATTTCTTGCAGACTATTTCTTGCATTACAGCACAAAAGTTGAAGAGATGCTCTGTCTAGAAACAGTAACTAGAAACCTCATTTATCATTAAGAGACATTCCTGTATTTGCAAGCTAGAGTATAGGGGAATTCTGGATGTCCAGTGATTAATGAAAATAACATTTTTAGAGCTCAGCATTTAGTTTCCTGAACTAAGGAAGTCTCAGGAGGCAAACTTCCTCTGAGCATCTCCTGAAATATATTAAAGGAGAATAATCAAGCCCAGACTGATACTCTCCCCCCTAATATATACTTCCCCCTGCTTCTGATATCTGGCACAAGCCACCAGCTTCCAAACTTTTTTCCCTAAAACATGCTGAACAGAAGAAAGTTCAGTTATCAAGAAGTGAAGCAGATCCCTTTGTCACACAGGTCACTTCAGCCAGCTCTCCCTGGCTGGACATATGCCACAAACCCCAGGATCCTGCTTCCTCACCAGCCCTGTGACTCTTGCTGTGCAGGTTACGTGCTGATGCTGCAAAGTATTTACTGAAGCAGTAGCCTTACAGCAGTGGCCTTCACAAACCTACCCTATTCCCTCCCTCAAAATCAGCTCAGCTATCATGCAAGTCAGTGTTCAAGTGCCCAGACTGCAGCACCTCCACAGTGCTAGAAAGCATTGCTTTGTCAAATTCCCATTAGAAGAAAGAAAAATGTACTTCCAACTCAAAAGCCCCTTGGAGAACTGATCGTGTCAGGGGACAAGAGCCACACTTGCAGTTGTCATCTGCAAGAGTCTTGTCTTGCAAGAGAAGGCTCTGAGGGCATTCAACTCCTGCTTGTTTGCCGTCACTCCATGTTTTCCCCTGCGCTGGGCAGGCAGCCAAGCAAGTACAACAGGCTCCTTTGGCAGCAGCTGGGTGCCCTCCCTGATGCCTAGGTTACTAAAGCAGAGGGAAAGAGGGGCAAGGCATGGGAAAGGAAGTGAGGGGGCAGGGAGAGAGCTGATACTGGAAATCTCCAGGAAGGAAACTAAATTCTTAAATGCTCTGTTAGCAGAGATTCTAAGTAAATGGGAAGAAACAGGGCCAAGTTCAGGGACTTCTCCCTCCACGAGTGGCTGTAACACCCATCAATCTGAGGGAATCAGCTGCTGACCCACTGGTACTAAGCACACTTCAGATTGTGGGGGGTACTGCAAACAGCCAGGCCATGACAGGCTCCATTTAGGCAGCATGTTCTGCTTCTGCTCATGCCCCTGCTTTATTAGCCAACACCCCTTGCTGTGCTTCTTGACCTTCTAGTACTGCAGTGGCAAGCCAGTTGCCACAGCGCAAAAGCAGAGTAAGGAGTAACATTTGCATGTGTGGTATTAGTAGGGGTGTCTTCTCCATCTAGCACCTCTCAAATCAGGTCAGAGTGCTCAGGGGGACTTGGGAGATGAAGCCCTTTGCAGAATCAGTGTAGCTGGGAGCAGGGCTATGAATGCCATTGGTGGGCATTCCCCACAGGCAGGCAGCCCTCCTGCACTGGCTGAGGCTGGTGCCCAACTCAGCAATTCTGAAGGTAATGACAACAAGTAACCAGAACCACCAAGCAGAAAAGTTTGTTGTGTGTCTAGGAAAGAGCTCAAAGGAAGCACAGCTTGTGAAAGATGGAGCTGAGATATTAATTTGCTGAAAGTCCACTTACAGTCCTCTGAAGCCCAGACTCTGCTAAGCCAGCTCAGCTTTTGGTTTTTGCAGAAAGCAGACTCTCTGTTAAGACTCTAGTCAAACTTTGTGGCTGACTTCAGGGGAAGAAAGCTAAGCCCTTTGCACAGTACAGAACTCCTCTGATGCCCAGGGTAAGTCTCACCAAGTGTAATCAAGAGTATGTTTTAGTAGTCAAAGCACTTCACACACACCCCAAATCTACATTCTCTACTGCTTAGCAACAAACATACCATCTCCTTTCAATATACATGAAGCATCAACAAAACCAGGTACTTACTTTCTTTGGCATTTAAAACATTTAAATTGAAATAGATCATTACAGAAAGAAAGCAGTGGAGGACTCACACAGCAAAACTGCATTAAGGCACTGGGGGCATTTGCACATTATAGTGATAAGGAAATCACTGTGAAAACACAGAGCATACAGTGAAAATAGGATGAAATACTAGCCCCTGTGTTTAAGACAAAATATTTGGATTGTTGGTTGAAGAGGCAGTAGTCTCACTCAGTCTGACCGTGGTGTTTCAATCAACAAGACTAAGAGGAATGCTGTGTCTCCAGGGCTGCTCCCTTTCACCATGTCCCTGATAACAATCCCATCTTGCTAAACACCATGTTACTGCTCAGGCTACAGACTGTGCACAAAAGTACTGCTATTCCTAGACAACACCACGGTCAAACACAGCCCCAGAACAGAGCCAATTTAGAAAAAGAAGGAAGATGAAAAAACACAGCCTTACGTAGAACTGCAATGAAACTCGTTTTGTCGGCCAGAATCCATACTCCAAACCCCAGGATCACGGCACCCAGAATCTGAAAGAGCAAGAACAAAACATACACGGCTTTGCGTAAGTTATAAGCTTAGATAAATAAGAGGAGGCAGTTGCTATTATCCATACTTCCAGTTAAAAAACAATCATTCCTTTGCAGTTCCCACCCATCTCCCCTGTGGTACTCCTCCCAGGGTAAACAGGATTAGCACAACTCCAGGAAGAACGCCTCAGCCAACTGCACAGGAGCCCCAAGATCTGCTTGGCAGTTTTTCACAGAGTATTTTAATAGTACATAATGTTGTATGGGACGACCATTCAAAACAGTCTGAGGAAGGGACACCCTGCTGCTAGAACATTGTTGTCAGAAGCGAAAGGTAAGTGCATTGCTTCTGTGAAGAACCAAGGAAAGACAAACACATGATTTAAAATATTTTTTTAAATAGAGAAACCCAAGAGGCTTGGCCCCTACTTTCTGGCAGAATACCTGAGCCTCAGCAGAGTCAAGAGTCATGAAACATTAGCCTTAGCCTCTGCCTTGCTCACCACACAGTCTTATGTGGGGCAAGGATTAATAGAGCAATACATCCCTGTGAGAACTCAGCTGAATCCAGACACTCAATTCAGTAGCCAAGAAATGCATTTTCCCACCTCACTTTGAAAGGTGGGGAAGCATGCTCTGTTTTAGCCTTCATGTACCAGCAAGTCTTCAGGTTTGATAAGAAGCTGAAAATTGTGCTGTTCAGCCAACTAGGACTGGAAAACACTTGTGCAAAGGTCCAAAATAGGCTTTGAAGAAAAAAGGAGTGGACAAGAACTGCAAAAGAGCTGCAAGCAGCTGTTCTCACATTAGCAGGATTTCAAGATAGGATGAAGTGAAATAAACTAACAGGGCTAAAGACAGATTGCAATTCTGTGCTTCATTAGATAAAGCTTTAATACTTGGGAGACATGGAAAATGCCAAAACACCACCCAAACCAAGCTGGCAGAGAAGGTTGTATGGACAGGCATTGGCTCCACACTTTGAAAGTTTACTCTAGGCTTCAGCTGCTCATACAAAGAAGCTTTTCTGAACAAAGATAAAGCCACAGTCTGAAATAAGCTGCTTGCAAGCTTTCCTGTCTTGGCAGAAGGTGCATCATGTAGTTAGCTCTGGGGACAGCATTAGAAAGTCATCAAGCAAGTTCCCACCTACAAAGCATACTGACTCAGCTTCAGAAAGCATGTAGCTGCTGTATCTCAGAAAAAAAGAATTCCCCTTTGCCTTATGTCCCAACATGCTGCCCACAATGCTCAGTCTGCTGATCAAGCTAGAAAGGCCTCTCTAACATGCAACAGCTGGGACACGTAAAAAAATTCCTCTCAAACTCGGTAGCATCAAGAACTGTTGAATAGACAGTTTAAGGCAGTCTCACATTTCAACTATAGTTTTAATAAGCATTTGTTTTAACAAAAGATGCAAACCGGGCTGTATGTGACATCCCTTTTGGTTCACTGACCCTGATATGTCACCTAAGTTTTGCTGTTGCTGACAAAACACAGAAGGGCTGCTGAGCTGAGTTCCTGGCAAGTTATTTGTTATGAGGTGCTCAGACTATCCAGGGCCTGTTTTCACTCTGATCTTTACTCCAGTCCACAACTTGTGTGCTTACCAGGAGCTGCTATGGAAAACACTACAAGGGGAAGGCAGGGAGACACAAGAGTGTATTTATTTCCTAGTAGGATAATATCTCTGCTCAACATCTTCAGAAGTTTGCATTGCATAGCAAGGCTGCTTCTGCCACTGGCTCGTCTTCAGACCCTCTAGAGAAGAAATCACATCTGCTTTCCACGGAGTTTAATTCCTCTGTTCCACTGCTGTAAACTCCAGAGGTGGGGAACAGATGTCTCCCCTCCTCCCTGGGGGGTGGAGGTTTCACCCCCAGTTTCAGCAAAATCTCCTTCTACACCCAAGCCAGAAGGATGCAGATCCCTCATTGCAGGGTCAGCAGTTTGCCACAGAGAGGTAGTCAAGAGGGGTTTGGATAAACCAAGCAGTGATGAAGCTGACTCATCTTGCTGGAAAGAGCAGCTGGGGGTTCCCAGCTTTCCTTCCCCAGCACTGCTTTCCTCCATGCTCAGATTGGGTGATGTAACACTGAACCTGCACAGGGGTCAACAGAAAGGCTCTAAAACTCCAGTCTTTGCTTCAGGTAGCTACCTTCTACTGCATTTACTGAAGGATTAGAAGCAGGACAGACAGTTACGTATTCCAAACAAATAGTTTCCAGAGACTGTTAAACTTGTCTTGCAGAGCCGTCTTCCCTTTAAGGAGAAGCATGTGCTGCAGCACATGTCTGCTAGCCAAGAAGGCAGACGTGTTAAATTCTGATTAGGAAACCAGGATTATACTCCAAGCTTATCTGGTATCTTTTCTAGCAAGCAGGCAGGCAGTCCAAGTAACCTTCTTCCCTTCAACCAAAGCAGGTCAAACCCCTCCCTGAAGTAAATCTCCAAGACTGCAAAATACCACTAAGTCCCTGAACTACTTCAGCTACAGCAAACGACCTTCTCACAGACCTCGAGCTGCAGGGAAGTGCTGTTTCACTGACTAACTTCTCAAAAGAGTCACCAGCATCTCTCTACAGGCTTCAAGCACCAGCAAGGCTGAGGAACACACTTCAGCCAGCCAGGGCTGGCCTGCATGGGGTACAATCACATAGGCTCAGCTCAAGGCCCAGAGCAGACATAGGGCTCTGTCAGCAGCACTGGTGCTCACCTTTGCTCAAGCACCCTCCTCACAAAGCTCAGCAGCTTCAGAAAAGCAGCACAAGGCATTCAAAAACTGTCTGTGCTGACAGCTCACAGCAACTCAATACAAGCAGTTTCTCTGCTAATTAATATAGTTCTACCACACTGTACAAGCTCAAAAATCACCAAGTACCCGCCCCAATTCAGACTTTGAACAAGAATAATGGAAAAATGTCTCATGTCACCTACTTCCTATGAGATGGAGGGAGTAATGCATGCCACCTTCCTCAACATCTGGTATGTGCAAAAAGCCTGCCCTCAGTCAAGACAGAAGCACACTCAAAACCTTCACTCCAGACAAGTATCAAGCTCAGCCAGAACACAGTGGCTTTGGAGACCCCACTTTGACAGAGCAGTCCGAGGGGAAGACAATGTTTGCGCTGCACGGCAGGGTTAAAGAGTTCATTTAAAGCAGCTTCTCCCTTGAGTCAGCACAGACCTTCTCACAATACATCCTACCCTAAAGTTCTTACTCTCCAGGTCCAGCTAGTGAATCAGACCAGCTTTCCACAACAGAGAGGGAGCTGGGTGCTACACCAGAGGATTGGCTCGGAGCAGGGCATGCACAAGACAAAGAACAGCTACTTCCAAACACTGGCCACCCAGACAGGAGTACTCAAACTGGAGTTCTCCAGGAGCCAGAGAGGGATTCAGCACCTGCCATCCTCACAGTCTTGCAAAATATAGGAAAGTGCAGCATGGACATGGGTCAGCCCAACAAAGCAGTTCAACTCTGCCTCCTGAGAGCACATCTTTCCCCACAGGCTGCCTGCAACCATGCCTGGCTCATCAGAGCAGGGAAAGAGAGGACACATGGAATAAAGGTACCACAATGACCCTAGACAGCATACAGCGAAACCAGTGACAGTGTTTTAAGGTACAGCAGTATCTCAGGCTGTCATCTTCTCCCCTTCCTACATGCTAGGCTGGCTTTCTTGAAGAGAACTTTCTCCACACAGAGCTTAGCTAATGAACTCAGACTGAGGTTTGGGCATCAAGGAAAACTAGACAGTGGCCAGATACTGGGCTTCAGCAAGACTCAAACACTGTCTTAACAAATACAGCTCTGCCTCCCAGGGTAGACCGCCTGTTATATGCTGCTTAAAATTTATCACTTCTTCAAGAGAGGGGAGAGACTGGATGCTGGTATCTGCAGAGGAGTCCTGCACTAGTAGGCGGACAGGCCTGGACTCAGATGATTTTTTTCTATCTTTAAAGTGGACTAAATCATACTCAGAAAGACCTAGTGGCACTTGAAATACCTCTCCTCTCCCTCCCAAGAACCTTCCCCATGGATGCTCTGAGCACCCCTGACTTTGGACCATTAGACTGCAGTTACCTACTCCTGGGATGGAAGGAAACACAGAGAGCAAAAAACGAGCACAGTAAGCCAAGGGAGACCAGATCCAGATGTGCCTCAAGTTCATCCTGTGTGCTACCAGCACAGTGCAGCCATGCAGGAAGCAGGAGTGAAGCTGTGTGCAGGGACAGAGACCAGAAAGCAGAGCTCACCTTATCATGATTCACTTCCCTCCCTTCTCTCCCAGCCTGACCCCTCCTTTCCTTACACACTGCACAAAGGATACTGATATGAGACAGGCTATTTTCTTGCTGACACGTGGAAAGTTGAAACCTTGCACTTCCCCACTACACCATTCCACTGCAAGAAGGCATCACCAACAGTACCATCACTGCCCACAGGACACACAACATCCAGGCATCAGAAAGATGCATGCAAGAATGTGTGTGGCCCTCCCAGACCCAATCTGGGAGGAGTTGGTCTTTTGCTAAACCTCACACTTGAAAATAACTGCACCCAGTGGGCTGTTTTATTTCCCCAGACAAGCCTGTCCCAGTCTCCCCCACCTCCCAACTCCATTTCAAACAGGAGACTTGGACTAATTCATCTTGTCACAAATCAAAACCAGCCGTTGGGACTCAAACAAAATTAGAGTTGCTCTTTGAAGCCTGGCTGGCCTATTTAGGAGGGCACTGCCATTACTTGGCAAGGTTTTGTAGCTTTGCTGCTCAGGGACAGTTCAGCTGCTGCTCCAGATGCGTCAGAGAAACTACTTACAACTACCCTCCTTCCAGAAAGAACCCATAACTTCTGCTTTCCCTTCCCAATGCAGGAATGGAGCTGTGTGCCCTGGAAGCTGCAGGTGCCTACTGGGAGTGGACACCTTGGCATACCTGAAACAAACACAGAGGCTCTAACATCCCCCAAATTCAGGGGTCCTCTCCCTCCTTCCAAAACTGTGGCCATTTTGTTTAATGAACACACTAGGCCAACATCCAGAAAAAAAAACATTTTCTAGCTGGCTTTGGTCCAGGCCCTCCTTCTGACTCCACAGATGCTCAAAATACTTACAAGGAACAGGAGGTTGAAAAGGAAGAGGAAGTACTTGGTGACTTTTAGGCAGCCAGACCCCATCTTCTTTCACTTACAGGACCTAAGGGGAAAGCAGACAGACAAGGAGTTATGACACAGACAGATTCTCTGGGCACCTTCAGAGCAACACCCTTACCCTGTGCAGAGCTCTGGGTTTCTGGTGGACCTCAGAGCTTATGCACAGACACCACAGAATACCAGAGTTGCCTTTTCAGGACAGTAAAACAGGACACAGCAGCACACTGCAGTCACTGTCGCCAAGATCTCCTGGAGAGTGACACAGAGCAATTACAGAAGAGATTTAATCACAAACACACTGCTAATTCCATCACTGTATGGACTTGGCAATAGTAGCATCAATCACAACACCAACCCTAGCTACTACTTCTGGTGGTGAAAAGTGATGCAAGCTACCACAATTCCCTGACAGCAGTAAAAGAGATGCATGGAGCTTCTGGAGCAATATAGATTATTAAAGGCAACAGAGATTATTAAGGGATGGAGCACTTCTCTTATAAGAACACGCTATGAGAGCAAGACCTGCTCAGCCTAGAGAAGAGCTGACTGAAAGACAACCTCATCAAGGTCTGTCTCACCCTGAAGAGAGAGTGTCAGCGGATGAACCAGGCTCTGCTCGGTGGTGCCAAGCAACAGGACAAGAGGCAACAGGCAGAAATTGATGCACAGGAAGTTCCACCTGAACATGAGGAAGAACAATTTTGCTGTGCATGTGACCAAACACCAGAACAGATTGCCCAGAGAGGGTGTGGAGTCTCCCTCACTGGAGACATTCAAGAACCATCTGGATGCAAACCCATGTCATATGCTCTTGGATGACCCTGCTTGAACAGGGAGGTTGGACCAGATGACCACAGTGGTCCCTTCCAACCATTCTGTGGTTCTGTCAGCTTTTTTGCTTCTCCTTCCTGGCCCAGAATCAGTTGTTTCCTACATAAGCAACAGAGAACTTTTAAGTTCCTTAAAATTTGCTCTACCAAGCTCCTTGCTCCAAACACACCATGCCCCTTTAAGAATCACCAACCAGAGGAAGAACAATAACAGGCTGGTGTGACCAGCCTGGCCTGGGAAGAAACAGCCCCAAGAGTGAGCAAGGTCAGCAAGGTTCTCTGCTGTCAGCCTCAGTGTACCAAGGATCACCAGAGCCCAGTTTGTTCTTTTGTTCCAATCAAAGGCTTTTGCTTAATCCTATTAAATATTTAGGTTAGCCCTGGAGCTAAACTGGTATGTGGGCCTTGTTGTAACTGGCCAGCCTTCCCAACAAGCAATGGTCACCCTCCAACTACCAGGAGAGAGCACAAGTCTGAACTCTCTGGCTCAAGCTGCTGCTCTAACTTCAAGGAATACCACAGCTACAGACTGTGCTAAGCTCACCACTGCACAGCAGTGATGTTATTGAGATGGGAAGCAGAAGAGATATAAAATGTCAGCCAGCTGTGCTGCAGGCTGGTCTCAAATCTCATCTGTATAGCAGTCATTGCACCTAAGGAGCTCTTACTGCACAGCCACGTTAGCAACACCTCAGTCAGTTTTTCTTCAGTTAACTCCTCAGGTCAGAGGCCATAAAGCCAGTTGTACCCAAAAGTAGGTCCTTCAAATGAGCCATGGAAAAGTCCTGTAATAGTTTCTGGTCCATATGTATACCAAATGTCAAACACACAGCATTGCCATTTTCAGGGTCCCTGGGTGCAGCCATCACCATGAGCTGGTTCTGCTCCAGCACAGATGCACTAAACAACAGCTGCATCACTACCAACCTAGGAAAAGTGAGTGAAGGCTCTCTGTTAGCAGAATTCCTCCTTTCCTCTGCAGAAGAAATGTTCTCTCAGGCCACTAGTCCTGGAAGGTACCAACACCTAAGGCAGCACTTGGAGAAGATAACTGAGATGTGAATTTTCCCATCCAGCTGGCTTGCTTCCTGGCTTCACCATGAACACATCTCCTCTTAATAGGATCACAAACCAGGGCCTGGAGTCTGACCAGAATGCAAAGGCAGCCAGATCCCTAGGTGATGATAAATTTCTCTTGTGGGAGTTACGTATGTTTTTCTCTTCTTTAACCTAGCCAAGAACTAAGCTAGCTAACAACTTCCTGCACAATGCACTGGACTTCTTACCTTAAGACATCTGATCCCAGGTGCAATCCTCCTAATTTTCAAACTGGAGGGGCAAGTCCCAGTACTCACTGACTTGCTTCCTAGCACCAAAAGCTGTATGCTGTCTACTTAAACTCTGCCCACATTGTTTTGATTTGTCAGGAAAACAGATTTGCAAAGCTGTTAAGATCTTTATAAAAGTTATCTCAGCTAATTAAGCAGCAAAGCAAGTTTACTGGGAAAGAAGATATGCCTGAGGTAACTAGAATACAATATTGCTAACAGGGCTCTTCTACTCCTAGCTATTTGTTAAAGGCATACCATCTTCAATGTTTATTAAAAACACAACCCCAAAACAAATATCCAACCCCAACAGCATTACAGCATTATCCACCATTCTCTTCTTGCCACAGGGCAACCTATCTCTTTCATAGCCCCTAGCCATAAAGTAATTCAAAGTACAGTTTTCCTGTCAGAAAAGCATCTAAAGGTTTTGCTTCAAGCTTTTAAGATACTTTAGAGCTTCACTGAAATATTACAGATTTTCCAGTTTTCTATTCTTTGCAAATTAACTTATTTTTGTCCACTACATCAATGAAACTCCTCAAAACTCCATCTTCTGAAATTTTACAGTCATGAGACGAACACTGTCATACAGTAGAAGCAGAAGCTCAACAAATTTTGAGATAAGGCAAGTTTGGAAGCAGATGAGCTTGGAGTTAGCACAACCAGGCATATCCAAATGCCACTCGGTGCCAAAAAGCCAACTTAAGCACCATAGCTAGTGCTGCAGTAAAAGCTGAAGTTTGCCTTCTGAAGTTGGTCAAGTTTTGAGCTTTAATGTCTTGCAGCAATGCATGCAAGGTTAAATTCATGAAGTCTGCAGCTTTCAAATTCCACTGACTGTCCACGATTATTTGTTTTTTCCTCTCCCTCTCCATTCCTACTGCTTTGACCATTTGAATTTTCATCTCCAAGCAGCAACATCCACTCTTTTCAACAATCCTGTACATACACATGCAATTTTTCCCTGTCACTACCAGACTGATGCCAGCTCTGTAGAGGATTTCATAAGACACCATCAGCTTGCAGAATGCATTTCTTCCAACCTCTCATTCTCCATCTTGTAAAGATATGCAGGATTACTTATGCAGTGTGTTGCTTTGAGGCACTAGTGCCACAAAAACTTGGTTGCCAACACAGCCTGGTCAGCTGCTATGAAGTTAATCCAGGGTGTTTCTTAGCCCAGTGTTCACACCCAGGACCTGAAGGGATAACTAATTCCAGGAAGGCATCAATTGATCCAGAACTCAGGGGTTTCCTACCAGGAAGAAATGGAACAAGTCTTCACAGGCTAGACTGGCATCAAGGGATAACTTCCTGTCCCCTTGTGACCTTCACGTCTCAGGCCCATCATTCTCCCAGCAACAGCAATGACAGCAAGACCTGCATGTGGAGCAGGAACATAGAACCCAGGACATGTGTGCCTGAGGAGATGCAGTAAGAGCCCTGCTTTGTTAGCAACTGCAGAGGAGTCCTATCACAGCATAAAGGTTAACTTATTTTTGTCACAGGAGCCTGTGAAACTCCCAGTCCCCCTCCTGTAAAAGGTGACCCCAGAGAAGGATGGGTGATATGGGGAGAGCTGAATGCCTCTGCCTCCTGACCTGCATTGGCCACAGAGGCAGGAGAGAGAAAATTCGTGTGCAAACATTATAACCACATCAGTCAAGGGGCAGAGAGGCTAAGTTAATTTTTAATTGCAGTTCTGCTCTATTCAATTAGATCCTGTACTGCCTCACCCAGCAAGCACTGCATGCTTGGTGCTCAGTGAAGTTAATGATATTGGGCCCAGGCTACCTCTCTACATGCCTGGGCCATGCAGCTCTGCTGGGAAGGGCTCAGCCCTCCTCTGCAGCCATCCTCATGCTCACTCCACAGGTTTCTCCCTGATGAGCTCTGGCAGCTGAAACACCTCAGCTGCCAAGTTACTGTACAGCACAAATAAGGGGCTCATTTACGAGAGCAATGAAAGAAAAGAACCACAAAACATACCAGAGCAGAACAGCTGTGTAAATCACTGTCTCAGTAGATTTACAAAAAAGTCCAAAGATCATGCAAACCCTTAAAGACAGCACACATGTTCCCAAGCGCACCGAGCTCTGAAAGTCAGTCCCAATTCTCCAGCTCAGGCAAAGAGCATTCACATTTGACTGTATCTACATAGCCTGAGGATGCTGTCTCCTCTTCTCCACATCCTATTGCTTAAGGACAGAAATGATTGGTTATAAAGAAGCTGCAGGTTGTTTCTGTGTACTCTGACCAGTTGCTTCCCACCAGCACCCCTCAGGCTCTAACACCAGGGGACATAAAACTAAGGTAGACCCTATAGGACATGCTACTACCAACTTCTACCAGGCTAGGATGGGGTCAAACCAGCACCAGGTTTGGCTTTAACAAGCTGCTATTTCCACTGCCCCCACCAACACCTCGAATGCCCTGTAAGGTTGGCATGATGGCTCAGATCTGCTATCCCTCCTCCCTGTTCAAGGAGAAACTTCCAGTTTTACAGAGGCAGAGATGCAGCAGACAGCACTATGAACTAAGGTTCTGCAACATACCCTAAGTCTCCTGATCCTCTCTCACATCTTGTATCTGATGTGGAAGGGGGGATCTTTGAGTGAAAGTACAGCTGATGCACTGAAGGAACCTCCAAAGCAGCCACAGCTGATTTCAAGAATTGCAAGCACCACCTTCCTCACTTAGGTTAAGTCTTACACATTGCAACAGGTCATTTCCCTCAAGATATTACAAGCCTGGACACTTAAAATACCTAAAGCTGTCCCTGATCCTGTCTCACTTCCCTGTCTTTTCTTTCTCACACCACAACACTGGCCAAAGTTAGGTGGATTCATTCGCAGACAGATCGACCAAGACATCCTGGAGAT